ACGCCTTGCGGCTGCAATATGCTTCGAACTTTCAATGCATTCCTTGGTCATCTGTTCCTTTATCAGCAGCTGTGTTACAACCAAAACTTACGCACATAACTTTCACGGCGGGGATGGTATTATAGAAGTTGTTGTGATGCGTAAGCACAGCTCTCCTGGAATCGACAACATTCACCCTAAGTCCCTTGCGGTAATGGCAGAAAGTTTAGCAGAGCCTCTGGCACGATTCTTCCAACGCTGCTTCGATCAGATGTATGTACCCGAGATGTGGAAATGTGGGATCATAACCCCAATTCACAAGCGCGGTAGCCGTTCTGATCCAGCCAACTACCGTCCTGTAACCCTTCTCCCGGTCCTGTCAAAGGTTATGGAAGCTATTGTTGCTGACGTATTAACAGCCTATCTAGAAGAGTCTGCCTTCCTTGCACATGAACAGCATGGTTTTCGACGGAATCGATCGTGCACCACAAATCTGCTGCTAGCAAGATCGAGTTGGACCAAATTAATTGACAGCGGTGCAGGAGTGGACGTGGTCTACCTAGATTTCCCAAAAGCCTTCGATCGACTAGACCATGGAATCCTGATCTGCAAACTTTAGAGCTTCGGCATTGGTGATCCGCTCCTAGGATGGATCACAAGCTTTCTTCTCCACCGGAACTTAGAGGTAATAGTGCGTGGGTCCCTGTCCCACCCAATCCAAGTCGAATGTGGTGTACCACAAGGATGGGTACTGAGGCCACGATTGTTTTTGATGTATATTGACGACATAGCGGCCTTCATTCTTTCCAACTGCCTACTCTATGCCGACGACATCAAGGTCTGGAGAGCAATCAATACACCAGACGACTCCGCAATACTTCAAGAGGATCTGGATAAGGTGTATGCGTGGTCAGTTCAGAACCAACTCCCACTCAGCACAGAAAAGTGCAGAGTATTACACTTACGTCACCAATCATCATTTTCTATAACCTGGGTGACCATGTGCTTCACACAACTGCTGAGGAAAAGGATTTAGGAGTCTTGATTCAGTCCGACCTCGGTTGTTCAGCCCAGGCAAAGAAAGCATCGAAAGCGAGCATTCGAAATTTGGGCCTTCTCCGGCGCACATTTGAACGCTTCCATCCATCCGTTTTTCACCAACTTCTAGGTGCATACATACGACCACACGTGGAGTATGCAATACAAGTCTGGCAGCCGTGGCTGAGGAAAGACCTCTCTGATTTAGAGAAACCTCAACGACGCGCAACAAAGAACGTGAAAGGTTTGGGCCAGTTACGCCACGAAGACAGACTTAGATTGCTCGGGATACTTAGTGGTCAATATCGACGATTACGGGGAGATTTGATTTTGGCTTATCAGATTCTGACAGACCCCAATCATACCTGCCACCATCTGCTGGAGCTCAGTAACAACAACAATCTGAGAGGCCATCATCTGAAGCTGGCAGTGCAGTACAGCCGTTTGGAATTTCGACGGAATTTCTTTTCCGTGCGTGTTTGCCAAGCTTTTTTAGAATCTGTACTCAGTGCGCCCAACCTGATGGAGTTCAAAACCCGAGTTGATAGTGCACTCACTTCATTGCACTATCTCCCATAGTACAGTCTAATTTTGAGAGATCCAAAATCCATACTTTAAAAATAATTTTCCCCCACGCAAATCTCAACAGTGGATTTATATTTTGACGCTTCAAACTCAAACACTTTGCCCCATGCGAATTTCAAGGGGCGGTGACTCTTTTAACCAAATACTCCATACCTCATGATCCCCTCGGGAGTTATATTGGATTATTATTTTGACACTTCAAACTCGGTGAGTCCACAAGCTTGTAGTGACTCGTTGTTAAACGATTTTACTGAATTGGTTTCCATTGAATTTTTCACACTTCTATGATTTTCGCACTGATCACCCTACGGGATTTGTCAAGATTTAGCTTTTATACCCGCATAAATCCATTGTTCCATTGGTCCATTGTAACGTTCGGTTGCTAAGTTAACTTGCGTTATCCCGCCCAACCGACATACGTACTCCTGGTAGGGAAGTCCCCGGGGAAAACCACGCCCATTGTCAGAGTGCGAAGCGAGGTTCTTCATGGCACGCAACTGCGGTCTAATCACCCGCCTGTTCGGGTTGACCGGCATGGTACATTTTTAATACGGTACATTTATAGTACGTACAATGCATAACCATTCACATAGCAATAAGCTGTATAGCGTCTAGGTACCCCTGTTCCCTACAATGTGGGAATATCTTCTGATAGTCGCCAGTAGGTGTAGGTTTTCCATGTTGTATGGGCTCAAAGTATTGCGGTATGAAGATGTTTCACTTGTGGATAGCCGTCCTTTGCGAAATTCGGCAAGCCTTTGTGCTAGGTTTACTGGTGTTCTACAATTGATCAGCGCTTCCTGTAGGAGGGTTAGAGGGGCCGTAGTGATGAGGAACAGATTTTGGACTGTGAACGTTGAACCGGATTTCTCCCGCCTAAGTAGTGCTACTGCATCATCCGTTCTGTGCGTTCATTGGATGAAGGTAGGCGATTCCCCCATCATACGTGCGGCAGTTCTTGCCGAACGCAGGTAGCATAAGGTACTGCAATTTGACATGTGCGTAAGGAAGCTTCCCCCGGCTGCGTTTCCTAGAGACAACGTCGGGGAACGGACTAGATAGGGTAACATACTGGTTAACGCCTTAATTTGCACCTTGTTTTAACCCGTCGCTATTTCCGTAGACTACGCTGCAGGTGACAGCCTTTCGGTTTTATCTGTTGATACTCGTTGCACATTCTTTGAAAACGTATTGGCGGATTCTCTGGTTAACGGCGCCAACGTGTCTTCGGTTGCTTTCATCAGCGAATCTAATGCTGTATTCTGCAGCGCGAGGTGGACAAAGCCCAGGAAGGACGAATCCGGTGATATGCAGTGCTTTGTATGTAACTGCCGTTACCAATTGACCTGCACGGATTTCAACCTTGCTCAGCTGACAACGCTTTCGACTAGTGACATCATCCTGTGCGATTGTCTTCTGTGCCGTCGTGGAAGATGAAGGCGGCTTCAAGTAAATAGCTGCTCAGGAAGCGGATTGATTGCTGGCGAACTTACCAAGGGGCTTAATCCATCAGCAACTACACAAGGTATCGAGCTGTTAGGAAGAAATGTAAGCAACACTTTGGAAGTAGTCCCCTTTAGTACTACGAGGATTTGCGTACCATACACGTAACAAACCCAAAACGTTCTTTGCTTAAGTAAATAGTTGCAGCGGTACAAACTCGTCCATATTTGTTTTACCACCAACCGACGGCACTAATGGACATAGGGAGTATCATAAGGCTTGTATACATAGGGACCAGGATACCTGTGCATTTTCTTGTGATGCCTCTCTGCCGAATTTTGCCTGGTCACAGAGGTCCCGGAAGATTCTGTCGTAAAGGAATTAGGAGCACGGTTACACAAGTGTTCAGGCTATTGCGGGGGCTAAATCCTTCTAAAGCTTCCGGCCCGGTATGCATTTATGGGAAGTTGGTGCATGAAAGTGCCGCTTAGTTAAGCGGCCCTCCGACGCGCATGTTTATATTTTCGCTCGAGAGCTGTGTGTCAGCCTGGTGGTTTCAATCATGCGTTAAATGATGTTGGTCCGCAGTGCCAACAATCCTCTTATCCCCACATGCTTGAATCTTTAACTTTCCCTTTTTTAAAGTTATTCTCACACATTCGTGTTACCGGTATTTACCTGACATGCCTCCTCTTGTATTCCTAGCTTACCGTTCACTACGTTACTTCACATAAACGGGCCTGGCAGTGACTGCTGGGGAGCAAAAGGTGGGCAGTAATGGGTTGGATAGGGTGTGATGCCATCTCTGTTTAACGCTTCTCAACATCTCAAGCAGACCTATGAATTTCCGATCCGAGGATAAGCGAAGGAGGGAGTAATCACAGGATTATCGTTACGGTACCAACGGAACTTGAACTTGAACGTGGGTACATCAAGGCGAAGTTTACCAATGTTACCGTTTACGCACGTCGCCCATTAGTGGATAGAGTTAAGCTGAAATAGGCTATGAAACAGCCTTAGAACCAGACGAACCACCGATGAAACAACTCTCCGTTTTGTGGGTTCTCCAGCGGACAGCCGGCGGTTTCTCTCCGCCCCCTCTGTGCTACTGATGATAGCGTGCAACCAATCACCGCCCATTACGAATATCTTAAGTTGGTACGAAACCATGTGAGCAGCCTAAGTAACAACATGCGCGAGATACGTATGTTGGTACATGGGTATCATCCTCATATACCAGCATGGTTGCAGCCCTTTGAGTGCCTCGGGAATACGTAGATGAATAGCCAACTATGGTGCAATTTCGGATCTCATCTTCCCCGTCACTATACTTTGTATGTCTCCTAACTTACATCTCTCCCTTAAGTGCCAGTGATCATGTTTGTTTCTCATGGAGGCATACTTGACACCACGTCACTTGAGCGCTCCTAAACCGTATGCATATATGGTGTGCTAACTATCGAGCGGTGCGTAATAACGCTTCCTTTTGTCGGTGGAACGCTGACGACGGTATTTCGGAAGTCTGTTAACGGATGCGAACTGGCATCCGATTGGAGGGAGGCTGTCCCTCAGCTCACGTACTGCCACCACCACATGATGCAGCAGTGATACTTAGCCACAGGTACCATTGGATTTCCATGATGCCCCACGGTTCAGAGCCTGAAGTACCAATGTGCCGTCACCCGCCGTTTTAGTTAACGCTGCCACTGGCCCTCCTACCTTATACTGGCTCCGACATATGATGCAGCAGTGACAGCCTACCGCAGGTAATATTTTATTGCAATATTGACATCGCATTCACTGCCTTTGTACCATTCGCAGCCCTTCGCCGTCCGAGTGAACGCTGCCACTGGCTCTCTTCCCAAGTACTTGCTACCACATATGATGAGCCAGTGATCCATAGCCACAGATAAGGTGGGATTTCTATGATGACTTCCATTTCAAAGCCAAAGTAGATATGCGGCACACACAGCCGTCCAGGTTACGGCTGCCGCTGGTCATTAACGCACCGACTGGTACCACGATATGAGGCAGCAGTGAATCCTAGCGAAAGGTAACTTCCGAGTTGGTTAATGACTTGCTTTTATAGACTTGGTACACATAAGTCGCCCTCCGCCGTCCAGATTACCGCCCCTTGTCACCTCACTGTCACGTACGTCCATCTGCCATCACTTGCCATAACAGCACGTCCGGTGTTTCTTTCATTTCCAGTTTCGTCGACATTTTACATTCCTTAGAGAACGGACCAACGGCCCTTTTCAGGGCCATCCCTGTCACTGTGTCTTTTGGTCCCACATCGCATAGGAAAATGCAAAGTCTGCAGGTTCCTTGCGGAGGACAAAGCCACAGGTTCAGTGAGTGGTTCCGCAATCTTCCGCCAATATAAGGGCCAAATCCTCTATCGTGAAATGTGACGCAACCATGTAAGCGACGCAGACATGTTCGTCCATTAAGAACATGGTATGTTTCGGTTACTTTCAACGATGAACCTGCAGCTGTAACCCTACGGTGTTCGTAAAGCATGCTTCCTCGTTGCCCTCCGCTTATTGGTGTTAACTCATTTGCGCACGCATTTCGAAATGTGAAACTACGTGATGAACCATTTTTTCAGTATTCTCGCTTGGCAGGTGATGAGCGTTCGCAATGCACACAATTAGACGAGAATATTTGCATATGGTTTGAGCGTCCATTTGTCCGCCTGATAAAAACATACACCCTCATGACCAGATTGCGTATATCAGTACCACGTCGTCCTGTGCATCAGCACCTATTCCACTGCCATTCCGTTACTCCCAAGACGCACAATTATTCATCATGTCGTCCCTCTTCCCAGCAGCGTGCTACTTTACCAACACATTGCGACACGCTTAAAAGTCACCTATATATATATATATATATATATATATATATATATATATATATATATATATATATATATATATATATATATAACCCCATCGACGTATATTTGCATCCATTTAAATATACTTCTTTGTGTGTAAGCATTCGCATATTGATATATTTATGCACACATACAAACACAGTTATAAACCTCACCATACATTATCTTTGCACGATAGCCAGCTGTTTGCGTCGGTATGTTGTCTACACAAGTGCAGGCGTTTTCGCAATGCATGTGTTGCATAGGACATTAAGATTTTCAGGTAACTCCCCATTCTGTCACACTTCTCGTGTTTTATTGCATAGGTGATCGTGGTTGTGTGGCAGCGCAGCATCAGCTAAAACGGGTGATGTAGGGCTGCTGTTGTTGGTTTTGTGTTTCAGAATTCCACGTTTACACATGCCCCAGCATAATCTCCGCCTAATATAAAATAATTTCGAATGTATACAAATACTAACATGAACGACTAACATATTGCAGTATAACTTATCTTAAATACACATACATGCACATATATATATGGTTGGCGGCACCCGGTTTCTGATTTACCTGTCACTGTGGCAAACCACAGGACGCCTGCGCCTACAGAGGGACCATGGGTGGCTTGCGCTGCACCACTCACAGATCTATCCACACACACCCTATATCCAGTGTAAACCCGAAGGAATAAGACCTGGATGCATGTGGATGGGAACCACGTTTCATCAACGGAGCCGGCCCACACTCCTTCACCGGCAAACACAATCACGCTGTACTTGGGGAATCAAGCGCACACAAGGCGGTGGCTGGACCGTAGTCCGCTCCACACTAAGGGCATGGTACCACCCTTGGAGCCTAACACGGCCACAAGGACCGTGCACCCCGTCGTCTCCAGCAACGACCAACTGTCGCATGGAGCCAGTATGGACAAGGTAGCGGGTAATAGAGAGGTAGGCAACTTGTCAACATGTACACCAAGCACAGCCACACCGAGGATATCAAGCAACAGCCAATCGCTTGAGAGAAAGAACAAATAAAATAAGTCGAGTAATGCATAAGGAAACGATGATATAAATCTTAACTTAATGAGCATATGCATTAACTTGTTTACAAAAGAATCCTAGATAAGTTCACGAGGTCAGAAAGTAAACTTTACGGAAATGCCACAAACACGAAAATGTTATCGAAATTAACCACAACTGGCTTAAGCGACGTGTGCAAGTCTGTGGAAGAGAGTATAGGCAGGCATTTATACTGATTACTGTTTAGAAGCAGCGAATAGAGCTTACTCTGTGTAGCTGCATCAATCGTCTCTCATGGACATGTACCCTTTATGTTGTGTTTCGCTCTGTATATTTTGCGTCGGCAAAGTGTTTGTCAAGGAAGTTCTTGAATTCCGACACTGAGTTTGCCTCTACTACGTGCTGCGGCAGGTCGTTCCATACATTCACCACTCTGCGTCCGAAACAGATTTGGTGAGCGACGCGCTTCAAATCCGGCACGACAAGTTTATACCGGTGTCCTCGTGTGCTGCGTGGTTTGCGCAGTTGAAGCAGTGGTCTCAGCATAGGGTAATCACCCAGATGTAATGTCCGGTGAGGCATGATGAGGTCTACCGTATTTCTACTATAAGCTGGGGTGTACAGCCCTATTTTCTTACACCGGTCTTCGTACGGCACACCTCGTAAGTTGGGCATCAGCTTGGTGGCTACTTGCTGCACTCGCCAAGCTTTTCTACATCGCCCCGGGTGATAGAACAGTACGCGGTAGAGCCCTACTCTAGCATTGGTCGAATGATTGAGACGAAGAAGCGAGTGACAGTTTCTCCGTACCAACTGCGGAAGCTGCGCCTGAGCATTAGGACAAAATCGAAAACTCACCACCTGAAATAAATAGACTTAGCATGCAAGCACGCGGTTAGTAAATCGAAGGCAACGTACCTACATACGCTGCGCCGGTTCTGCCTACGTTATCTGTAGGACCCTCGTCTCTTCGATAGTGGTCCCGATTGGCCTCGCTCATGGCTCACTAAGCCTACCTGACTCAGGCACTTGCGACCGCATTTGCTACAGCACCATGCGCTCGATGTCGATGGAGTACAACCCATCGGTGCTTGCCGCTTCCCCACTTATCGCTTCTCTGCATGCATGAAGTCTTTCTCTCGCACTTCAGCAACTGCCATCCAGATTAGATCCCGCCATGCACGCCGATCAACCGCCTTCGATTCCCATGACCTGAAATCAAAATTAGAACGGGAGAGGCTCATTTCGATCATGTCCTGGTAGCAAAGCTTCGGTTTCCCCGCATGCCGCTTCCCAATACTCAGCTGGCCGTATAAGATTTGTTTTGGTATCCGCGTTGAATCCATACACCACACATGACCGAGCCACCTCTGGTATCTCAGTAAAAGTATGTGGTCCACTGCACACATTCCACTTTGTCGCAACACTTCCGTGTCTTCAATCTGTTATTACAACCGATGCGCCAAATCCGTCGCAGACACTGCTGATGGAACCGCTCTAGATATCGCACATACCGCCGACACATCGTCCACGTTTCACTGCCGTATAGAAGAACGGACAGTACCATGGATTTGTACACCATCGGCTTCGTGCCAACGGTAAGCTGATGGTTGTTCCACACTCGGTACTCTAGCTTCCCGAATGCCGCCGCTGCCTTCGACACACGGATACGAAGCTCACTGTGTAGCTGTTGATCGGTCGACGTCACACTGCCAAGGTAGCAGAAGCGGGAGGTTGGTTCCCATAATTTAGCAGCAATGCTGATTCGCGGCATTATTGAAGACAGCACCTCCGGTGAATGCTGAAAAGACAGACAGCTTTGCTTTTGTCGATGGTGAGCCCGAAGTTGGTCGCTGTCGAAGCCAGAGCACCAGTCATGTGCTGCAATTTGTCTCGCAGTCTGGGGTTCTTGCACCAAAACGACGGATGTTCAGCAACGCACCATAAATACGGTGCTTCACACAGACACCGTTAGCACAAGCCGCATCAAAAGCACAAGACATCATTGCATGAAGGTCGATATCATGCAGGGCAGGAGCCAAGACAAAGCTTTGCTTTACACTAGTGACAACTGCAATGTCATCCGAGGTCTCTCGACTCAGCTGCACCCTCGCTCGCATACCACTGTGCAGACATCCAATTAAACTTAAAACCTTACGCGGGCAACCAAACATACTCAACACCAGCCACAATGCCTCGCTGTTCACCGTATCAAATGCCTTGGGGAAATCAACAAACAGCGAGTACCACGGCTGGTGTCATTCTCTGCACGTCTTCTGCAACTGACGAGTCGCAAACACCATATCTATAGTGCTGCGAACTGAGCGGAATCCACACTGCTCTTCCACCACGTTGGGTTTCATAACCTGACTGGTGAGGCGGTTGAACAGGATTCAGGCAATCTCCTTGCCCTCACATCTCAGCAAGTTGATGCCACGATAATTCGTGCAACAGCTTGCTCTCTTTGCCCTTGTACAGTGGTAACACAAGGGCGCCCTTTAGCTCAGGGGGCACCTCCTCCTCAATCCATACGTGTTACACCAAGTGGTGCAGCGTAGTCACAAACGCGGGTCCGCCGTGTTTCAATACTTCGGGCGGGATCCCATCGGCCCCGGCACACTTGCTGCTTCACAGCTGAGCAAGTGCCCTCTGCGTCTCATATATATAAATATGTATGCATATACATATGTATATATATTTATATCGCTCGACAGAATGGGACATGTTCACACACGCACGTTCCATTATGTAACCATTTACCATGACTCTGGTCCCCGTTTCGCTTCCACGGTTTTCACTACGCAAGGAACTTCCACTGTAAAACAATTGGCACTTACTTGCAATATACTATACATGGACACACATTTATTTCGGAAAGTTAACTATACATGTTAGCACCTGTTTCATTTTACGAAGACACAGGGCTGCCTTTCCTAAGCAACTTTTCACATTCAGCTTTTTTTTAACTACTCGTGTACAGTTACATAGTAAATTTTCACATTTTTACGACTTCGCAATTAAGCATGCACAGTAAGTTTGTTAACATTCTGGAGTTCCTGACCTCTTTATATACGCATTCCTCGATAAATAACCCTGTTAAATCCCATATAGTTACAGAACCAAGAACCCAGTTTTCCTGATGAGCAACGGGACTAAAGTCACCAGATTGCAATAAACCGGGTAAATGGACGTTGTTGGTCAGGTACGCCAGGGCGCTCCACATGATGCCAACGGGGGGATATTAACAGTGGTATAGAATTATTTTAATAACATGGACACGTACAACGGAATGGATGAGTTCAGTTTCGTGAAAGTGCGATTATAATGGGCTAAAGTAAAAGAGCCGCGCTTCTGGCGCACATTACAATTGAGGCAATGGTCGACGA